CTTTCTTTCTTTCTTTCTTTCTTTCTTTCTTCTTTCTTTTTCTTTCTTTCTTCTTTCCATCCATCTGTAATTAGAGTAATGCCACTGTCATATCATATCATAGACATATTCAACTATATACCTTCAGCAAAAATACCCATATACTCATAGCAGAGACAGAACAATTTTAAATGCCCTGACAAGGAGTATATGGCTCAGAATGCATGACGGACAAGCACACAAGCCTGTTGTCACTCAGTAGGACTTGGCTTCCATATGTCTGGCTCTCACTTAGTGAGCATCTCATCATGATGTGAAACTGCTATTCACGGTGTAACCACCTCTAGGCTCTGCCCAGTGACTCCTGACTCCTGAGGTTCACTTCCTTATGTAATCCCCTCTTCTTGAGTTTGGGCTGGATCTAGTGGCCTACTGATAATTTAGAATATGGCAAAAGTGACAGGCCTTTTATCTCCAAGAATAGTTTGCAAAGAGATCGTGGTATTGGTCTAGTGTGATCTCAGTTGCTGTTTTGAGCAGCCCTGTGGAGAGACCCACATGGGAAAGAGCCAAGGACACCTCTGGCCAATAGCCAGACAGGAGCCAAGGCCCTCAGTCAGAAATCCTGTGAGGAATTGAGTCCTGACAACAATCGTGGGAGTGAGCATAAAACAGATCCCTCTGACCCTAGCCTTCAGATGAGACTGCAGCCCCTGCCAACATCTTGGCTGCAACCGTTATGAGAGACCTTGAGCCAGCCAAAGCACACCCAGATCCCTGACTCCTGAAAAAACAGATAGTAATTATTATTATTGTTTTTAACCACTAAGTCTTGGGATAACTCGTTATATGGCAATAGATAACTAATACACAAGAAAACTAGTAATTTTAGGGATTTTTCAAGAGTAATTGCCTCGCAACAAATTCAGGCTCCACCACTTACTAGCTGTGTGAACTTGGAGAAGCCACTTTACCTCTTTGTCCCTCAGTTTTCTCACCCAGCATATGGGTATGATGGGTTTCCACTTGACAGGTCTCTCATAGGATTAAATGAGATACTACTCTTCAAACACTTAGGGCTGTGCCTAGTATATGGAGAAGTGCTCAACAGATGTTTGCTTTTATTGTCTGATTCTGATTATGTGAAACATCCAGAATAGGCAAATCTTTAGAGACAGAAAGTAGATGAGTGGGTGCCTGGGGTGGGGGTGAGGGGACAATTGGGGTAATTGCCAATGGACATGCGGTTTCCTGTTGGGGTGATGAAAATGTTCTAAAATTGACTTTGGTAATGGCTCCAAGACTGAGTACACAAAAGCCACTGAATCGTGCACTTTAAACGGGTGAATTTGTGGTGTGTGGATTATATCTAAATCAAGATGTTAAATTAGGAAAGAAAAGAGTAATTGTAATGCTACATGACTTTTGCTTAATCCCAAGTGCATGAGTTGGGATCTTTCTATGGCTCCTATGGAACCTTCTCCTATGGTTTCCCATACACAGGCACTCTGGACTCTAGCCAAGCTCGTGTATTCATCGTGACCCAAATGCTCAGCTCTCCTGTCCATCCTGCCATCTTCTTTCTCTGGAGAGCCTTTTGCACTCCTTGCCCTCCCCACAAAGCCCCCATCCATCATTCTGAGTTCTGCTCTGGTGTCTTACCTGAGTAGCCCTGGAATCTTGGTGGTGCTGCCAAGGCAGCTGGGCCTGGTGGCCTCCCCATAACTCAGGGTTGAGGGGAAGTGCTTGTGCCCTGCATCAACAACTGCAGTCACATCCCTCAAGGAACCTGGATCCCTTGGCTCAATAAATTAGGTATAAAGAGCAGTTTGCAAATACGGTGAGCAAGATGTATTGGGGCAACTAAGGTGAAAGTCTGACTTGGTCTTAGAAACCCTCTTTAGTTTCAGCTGGTTTTAAATTCAAGTGATGTGTTAGTGATGGTCAACTGCTGGTTTCATCTTGCCATTATCAGTTTCCTCTTGCTGCACGAAAAACAACTCCACAGCCTCATGGCTTAACGCCACAGCCATTTACTGTTGTAGGGTGGGCTGGGGGTCAGCAGATCTAAGGTAGACATGGCCGATCCTGGCTGGATTTACTATCATCTGTGAATAGGCTCCCTGACGCATCTGCGGGTCAGCTGGGGGCTGCGCTCTACTGTGGGCTGAGCTGGAGAAGCGTGGCTCCACATCCGTCATCATCCCCTTGGTTCTCGAGGACCAGACCAGACATGTGATTCTCATGGTAGCAGTTCAAGCACCACAGTGGAAGCACTCAAGGCCTCTGGAGATCTAGGCTCAGACTAGTGTGCTGTCTCTTCCGCCTTGATCTTTGGGCTACAGCAAGTCACATGTGGCCCCAGGTTCAAGAGGTGGGGAAATCAAAGCTGCCTTGTTTGTGAAAGTGATCTCAGTGACAAAGAGTGTGGATGCAGGTGGAGGTAAACATCTGAGGACATGAGCACAGAGCCACACACTGCTCTTCCCGGCTCTGCTCTGCACAGAGTAAGCCACATTGCCAGGATCCCTTGCCTTCCTGCTTCTAGGCTGGCATAAGTAATGGAAGGGGAGAATGTCCCCTCACTCTGCCTATGGAGGCTTTTCTGGAAATTACTGCATCTCCTTTGTGCCTCCAGCTCCCACTGGACATCCCTCTTGACATGTTCCCAGCTGTCACCAGGACCCCCTCTCCCCATGGTCTAGTTCCCAGCTGAAGGCCCTGGACCCTAGGCCTTGCCATGGCCCTTCAGCCCCTGGGATGCAAGTGGTTCCTGCAGGGCTATTCTCTGCTTTGCCTCATTACTAATGCAACAATTCCCTCTGTTAAATTCTCTCTATTTAGAGGGCCTAGAGTTTTCTTGGCCAGATCCCAACTTACAGAGTGCTCTGCAGACACCCCACCCTACCCTGATCTCTGTGGGATATCTGTCTTGGGTCAGGTCAGCCTTGTTGCAGGCGGAGAGAGACATGAGAATATTTATTGAACATAGTGACTGATAAAGAAGAAGTCACACTGGTCTTTCCTTTCCCGGGAGCATGAATTTTTGAAGACAGTAAATTAAACACGGACGAAGTAATTCACTCTTTAGTTAAATAGTCTATAACTTTAGACACTTCAGGACACATCACCAGTCTGGCCTTGCATGACCCTGAGTGCCGGGCTGTGCCCTTGGCCATGCTGCTGCTTGCTGCCTTCCAGGACAGCGTGGAAACGTGGACAAGTATCCTGCCAGCTTGCTGGGTGGGGGGAGAGGAGCTACTCGGCGTGAGACGGTGAAGAGCTTGGGCAATGTGAAATGGAGCTCCCACATCCAAAATATATTATCTGTATGAAATGGTGCTTTTGGCCACTTTGTTACAATTGAATTTTCCATTTTCTGTTGAACAGGCAGAGCAAAGCAAACAAGATTTCTACCTTGGAAGAGGGCTTCTTTGCGGTGAAATACCCTCTTGGAATGGAGGTCTGGTCGTGCAGATTGTTAGCTTGGTTGGTGCACATTCCTAGCACTAAT